AAGGTTGAGGCAGGAGGATTGCCATGAGTTCAAGGCCAGCTGAAATTACAGAGAGAGACTCTGTCTCCAAAAAAATTATATATATTAAAGGAAGTTTCAATGAAGTTATATGATACTTGGGACTACTTCAAAATAATTGGAAATAGTTTGGCAGTTGCCCCCAAATTAAGCAGAATTTATCATCTAACCCTATCATTCTACTCCTAGTTATGTATTTAAAAGAAATTAAAAACAGGTGCTCAATCAAATGGATGTACACTCATGTTCATAACATCCTTACCACAATAGCCACAAGGTGAAAGCAGCTCACCTCTTTATCAACTGATGAATGAATAAACAAATTATGGCATGTTCATATATGGACATTATTCTATAAGAAGGAATGAAACACTTATTCATGCTACATTGTGAATGAACCTTGAAAGCATTGTGTTAAGTGAACAGCTAGGCACAAATGATCACATCATTTGATTCCACCTATATGAAATATCCTGAATAAGTAAATCCAGAGACAGAACACAGATTGGTGATCACTTAGTTCCCCTCTCCAGAAGCATCCACTCACAGACAGAAGTTCCTTGACTATCCTATCAGATACATACTGTACATTTCTGTGAAAATTATCTTTTTCATTAATATGCGCTATACTTTTTTGCCTCTTGATTTTTGTGACATAATATCTTGACTTTTGTTTCCTGTTAATATGTAAAAGGCAGGGCTGGGGATGTAGCTCAGCAGCACAAGCACCTGCCTGGCAAGTGCAAGGTCCTGAGTTTGATTCCCGGTACCAAAAAACACCAAAATATATAAAAAGCTACATTATTCCTTTTGATGTTTGCATAGTATTTTGTTGTATAAATCTAAGGTAAATTAAATCAATCCTTTATTGAGCATTTGTTTCTAATCTTAAATCATACTCTTAATGAATGCTCTTGAATTGTATACATCATTTCATACATATGTAAGAATTTTTGTTGGATAAACTTACTCAAAGGAGAATTCTTTCAAAGGGTATATTTTAAAAATTTGGTTGGGTGTAGGAATATTGCTTTCAGTAGGAATTATACCAATTTATATTCCTACTGACAGTAAGTGGGTGTCTATTTCTCCATAATCTATCAACACAGTTGCATCTTCTATGATTCTTAGTTGGAATAGCATGTAACGAATCATAAATAAAATAGAAATGATTTTCATAAGTCAGTTCTTATTATAAACATGATAATTTCAAATTTTGATAAATGCTACAAAGAAAAAACAGGATGAAGTGAGCAAGAGTATATAGGAAGTTGTCAGGAACAGTGGAAAAGGAAGGCCTTTTTAAGGAAGGTGACATTTGATCTGAGGTTGCTTCTAAAAGATGAGAATGAGCCAGCTTGGAAATAGGTATAGGATGAGCATTCCAGACAGCAAAACACTACAGTGGCTTTAGAATTTCAAGGAAAATGAGACCAAAATGGCTTAGTGCTTAAAAACAAGAGGGAGAATGGAGTAAGAAAAAGATTGAACAGACGCAGGAGCCTTCTGTTTCCTGTTAAGAGTGCAGTGGAATACAGTGGAAGAGTTTTTAAGCAGCTTTGTAATTATGGTCTGAGTTGATGTTTAATAGATCACTGCCTTCTTTATAGAGGAAGTGGAAGCAGGGACCAACCAAAGGCTGTTGCTGGGGTCAAGACAAAAAGTACTAGTAGTGATTTTTATACTAATGATGGCAGTTGAGAGGGATAGAAGTGGACTGAGTTGAGGAACATTTTAGCAGTAAAACCAGCAAGACTTTTCATGGTGGCTTGGTTGAAAGTGGAAATGAGAAAAAGACTTCGGTTTTTTTACTGATAAGTGGGTTAGTAGTGGTTTCATTCACAAATGAATTTTTTTTTTTTTTTTTTTGGTGGTGGTGCTGGGGATTATACCCAGGGCCTTGTGCATGCAAGGCAAGCACTCTACCACTGAGCTACATCCCCAGCCCCACCAATGAAAAATTGATGAAAGAACTGGAGACTATTTTGTTTTGAGGGGAGGACAAGTTGAGAATCAAGTCCGTTTTTTTTTTTTTTAACCTACTTAAGCTTGAGATGTCTATTAGACATTCAAGAAAAAATGTTAAGTAGACAGTTTTAAACAGGAGTTTGGAGCTCAAGAGAAAGTCTGGAGGTAAAGAAATATAATATCGCTTTCTCATCAGAATGTGTTATCTTTTATCAATTCTAAAAACATATTTTTAAAAAAATATCAGTTTAAACCATTGAACAAATGACTTAACAGATATCAACAGAATGTTTCATCCAGTAACAACAGAATGCACGTTTCTCAAAAGCATATGAAACTTTTTCCAAAATAGACCATATCTTAAGCCATAAATTATGCTTAAATAAAAAGAATTGAAATAATCCTTTGCATACTATCAACTCACAGCAGAGTGATGCTAGAAAGCAACACCAAAAGAAACCACATGGGCTGGGGATTTAGCTCAGCGGCAAAAAGCGCCTGCCTGGCAAGCGCAAGGTCGTGAGTTCGGTTCCCGGTACCGGAGAAAAACCAAAAAAAAAAAAAAAAAGAAACCACAGAAATTCCACAAACACTTAGAGAGTAAAAACATGTTCTTGAATAATCAGTTGCTCACAGAAGAAATAAGAGAAGAAGCAAATGCCAGTGGAAGTACAATATACAAAACCTGTGGGACACAATGAATCCAGTTTTAAGAGGGAAGGTTATAGCTATAAATGCACACATAAAAAGAATACAGCAATCCCAAATAAATAACCTAATGGTGCATCTTAAGGTCCTAGGAAGATAATAAGTAATAGAAGGAAAGAAACTATAAAGATCAGAGCAGAAATTAATAAAGTTAAGGCTAAAAAAATACAAAGAATCAGTAAATAAAAGAGTTGGTTCTTTGAAAGGATGGAAAGGGAATCGGGATGGGGTAGATGAGAAAGAGGGTAGGGAAAATAAAAAGACAAAATGGTTGTGACCACTTGACGCACAGTGGTGTATTTACTATGTATCACCAAAACATATCAGCAACAGTTGAGGAAAAGACCCACATTTTTTTCACTCTCTAACTCCTCAGAGATCAGGATATATCTTGTAATCATTATCAGTCAGGTAGCAGTCATGCTGTAGTTGTCATTTGCTGTTCACACATACACAGACAGATCGCCACAATCAGAATTTGCAGAACAAATGTCAGCAGCTTGGAAAGAAAATTCTGGAGACACTACTGGAGCACTGTTTTACCCTTTAAAAACCAATAATGTATTAGAAGAAAACAGTAAACCACCCATATTATGACCTTTCCTAAAGCAGGGGCCAAAAATACAGTTAACCGTGGGTATTTGCCCTTAGGGGACTAGATTATAAAATCCATAGATGCCAAAGACCTTTATATAAAATGACGTAGTGCTTGCATATAGCCTATGCACGTCCTGCTGTATCCAGATGCTCCTCCTCTCAGGGTGAGGTTTTGTTCTGATAAACCCATCATAAACTCAAAAGACCTTCATTCATCTTTAAGTTGAACTTCCTACTTTCAGTCATCTCTAGGTTACTTCTAATACCCAATAGAACACAAATACTATATAAATAGTTATTATACTGTATTATTCAGGGAATCATGATGAAAAATATCTGTACATGTACAGTACAGACAACCATCGATGCTAGGTGAACACTGTTCAAACATAGAGTGCTGGAGGGAAACTGAGGATCTATAAAATGATGGGAGGTTACAGCAGGATACGCGAGCACAGCAAATTCAAGGTTCGTTTTTTGGAATTTTTTCCCCAAATATTCTTTTCTTTTATGGTACTAGGGCCTTTGCGCTGAGCTACATCCCTAGCCCTTTTTTCATTTTTTGTTTTTCTTTCTTGTTTTGTTTGTGACATGATCTTACTAAGTTGCTAAGTTGCCCAGGCTGGGCTCAAACTTGTGATCTTCCTGTCTCAGAGTCCCAAAGTGCTGGGATTTCATGTGAGTACCACCATGCCCAGTTCTCCAAACATTTTTGATCTGAGGTTAGTTGAATCTATAGATGTGCAGCTTGTGGACACAGAAAGCCAACTGTAGTTAGCTGTATATAATTGGGACACCAACACTAGTAGCTTTTTGTTCTTTTATGAAAAACTATATCAGACTAGGAATGTAGCTCAAAGGTAGAAGGCCCTGAGTTCAACGCCCAGTACCATAAGGGGAAAAAATGCTATATCACCAACACCATGGCACAGAAAATGATGTGGTATTGAAAAAAAACATAGATACCTCACCACTTGAGTAGAAAAGTTCTTCAAAAGCCAAGAAGTGGTAGAAGAGCTGAAATCTAAACATGAGGTTTTAGAAATATTTTCACAAATTGTTTCGTTTATACTTACTGTGTTTATTAAAATGGTATATGTTAGACATTGCCTCTAAAACAGCTTCAGTCATTATGAAGTAAAAATTCTCTGTATTGAAAAGCATTGTGCTATAATTAATATGAGAAGTTTTCACTTGGTGGTATTTAAAAATATTATTTCTTAAAATTGATGAAAAAAAAAGAATCACTGGATTTTAGATTCTGTGAAATACAGTAGGTGATAGCTAAAGCCAGGGAATAAATAAAGTAAAGGTTTAAAGCTTCGTAGAATCTATCATGTACACTGCATGCTTTACCAGACATTCTCTTTATCCTCCAAGACTCAATTCAAAAATCACATTCCTCAGAAAAAGCCTTCTCTCACACTGTCCATCTCTTCTCTACTGCCTGAGTACAGAATTTTTAAAGAGAGAGAAAGACAGATTAACTACATGATGCTCACTTTATTCACTGTGATTTTATTTCCCCTGGTTTTGTGCTTCTGAGACGGAAATAGTGGACATCTATTCCAAAGGAATCCAAGAGTGATGGTAGGAACAGAATTCAGCAGTGTGTATCAGAGAGTGAAGAAGTACCTCTCTGGTGATTTTTGCTAACTGAATATTTTCATCCTCCATGTTTGCCTACTTCCTTTTGTTTTCTTTTAAAGGAAAGCCCGGAAGAAAGGACAGTAAACATGAGCTCTATTCAGGTAAATAACTTTATTTTCATCCTGGAGAATGATTTCCTATAGGTTAATTTTATCAAAAGACTATACCTTTACTTTTTTCCAAATCTTAAGTCTGATACCTCTTCAGCATCAAAGTGTAATATTTGCCTCCTATAGTCATTTTACTGACTTCTAATTTACTAGCACACACCTAGTTCATTCTTCTCTCAGATATGGTGCTTCATATGTGGACTCTTGCTGTTCTGACCATGCATGATAACAATGTTTAGTAGTACCAGCTGTATATCTACAAAGTGTAACTGTATTGTGACTGATTTAACAAAACTGAATACAATTGTCTCATTATGATAGAAATTCCTGCTGTGTACATTTTATTGTAGGCAGTAGTATAATAATGTCTGCTCCTGTGTTATATATTTTAGGTGTTAAATTTCTAGAGTATAGGAGTGATGGCACATGTCTATTTTACAGTACCTCATTGATTTGAACAGGTTTTTTTGTTATAGGTTTTTGTTTTGCCAACATAATGTAAGGGATTTTTTTTTTTTTTTTTTTTTGGTACTGGGAATCAAACTCAGGACCTTACACTTGCTAGGCAGGCGCTTGTGCTGCTGAGCTATGTCCCCGACCCCCATAAAAGAGATATTTAGCTTTTGGACTTTGGGTATGTTCTGGTTTGACTGTTTCCCGGTGATTAACTTCCAAGTATGATCCTGGCCCTTCTGAGTTAACTGTTGCTGTGTGCATCAAGGGTGATGTGTACTTTTTCTGAGGAGAAGAAAATGAAGTACAGAGTAAGCATACATATTTGATAAATAATTTTCCTTTTTCTGTGCCTGCAGGGGAAGAAATGGAGCTGCTATTTGGATTATTTATTTTCAGAAGGATTACAAGGCTTGAAATTTTTCATAAGAAGTAGTATTCATCATTCTTCTGTCCCCTGATCAGAAAGCATAACCACAGCGATGAACATTAAATAATGAAAGTTGGCATAGAACAAACTGAGCATGCTGGACTAAAGCCTTCCTCATTGCTGGCCAGGCCAACTAGCTCAACTTTAATTTCCATATTTAATTCACTAACAGACTACAATCTTCAAATAGTGTTTAGACTGTTCTTTTGACCATGCCTCAGGAGAACCCTGGTGTGGCTAACTTATTTTTTAGGAGTTAGATTTTTTAGCTTACTTGTGAAAAATTACCTCTTTATTATCAGGCTCTGCCTTCCACCAAGTAATGAATGAGGAGACAAATATGCTTTGTGGTGGGATTTTTTATATTTTTGTGTACTATAACCTGCATTGATGGAACAGAGCAGATATGGTAGTATATGGCGGTAGCTAATCCACAGACACACTTGTACAAAACATTCTGCTACCCTAGTGGAAGCTCTGTGGATATTGCCATTTTTCTTTCATGAACATTGCCAGCACCAAATTAATAGAATAGAACATATGTGACTCTAGATGCCTAAAGTAGCTGATGTGTTCATAGATCTTTACTGGTAGCAATTTATGGAGGGAAGGAAGAAGAGGGAATTATGGGGATAATCAAGGCATTTCTGTTTATGCTGGTTTGACTTTATGGAAATGCTCTATTTTACTTATGTGTATATGGATATATCTAGTTTTTAAATATTTAAGCCTATATAATTTAATTGCATCTTTATTTGCAGAAATATTCCTGAAGCTTTTAAGATTTTCCATAATAACTATAATACATAGCTTGAAATTTACTATAAAATTTTCCTTCAGTGCTGCTGAATAACTCCCCCTTTTAAATAAAATTCATATTATTTGAGAAGGTTAAAGCGGAATTATCTTTGCTTTAAGGGCCTATTCTTGGTTCTTTTTCTCCTTACCATTCAGGCATAAACAATATTATTGGGTATTTTGAAACTAGAAATCCCATTCATTGATTTAATTGATATTTATTAAGTTCCTTACTGTTCCTTACTGCCAGGTATTCTGTGTGCCGATTATCCAGCTGTGACTAACACAGAGTACCTGCTTTTATAGAGTTTGCATTCCAATGAAGAAGACAGACAATGAGGATGTAAGTAAATATATATCAGATGCTATGAAAAAAATCATGGGGTAAGAACAGATTGTGGAGAAGGTTTATTCCTCAAGAAAAGGTAGTTATAGAAGGCCTGTGTGAAGAGGTATCATAGGGGGAGGCCCTAATGAAGCAAGCACATAAGCCATGTGACAATATGGAGAAAGAGCACTCTGAGCAGTGTTAAAGGCAAATGAAGAGGCCCTAAAATGACAATATGTATGGTATATTTGAGGGATAGTAGAGAAGCCAGTGAGATTAACGTAGTGTTTAAGAAGAGTGGAAAGAAATTACAGGGAAGAAGCCGGAGACTGGCTCATGAAGTGTCTTTATAGCCTGGCATGAGTATGTCAGTGGAAACCATTAGAGAGATTGAGAAGAGGAGTGACATAGTTTGAGTCCCCTGTATGAAATAAGGAGCTGCAGTATGAAGGTTAGACTGTGGAAGATTGAAGGGTTGGAGAGGCAGAGAGACCAGTTACCTTGTGTTCCACTCTTGAGCTAGTGTCATAGCTGATGAGGAAATGGTTAGATATTAGATTTAGGGTGTATTTTGCAGGTAGAGAAGTTAGGACCTGCTGATAGATGAGATATGAGTAGAAGAAAAAGAGGAGTAAAGGATTATAGATTGTTGACCTGTCCAAGAGACAGATGGGGCATACTGGAGGAAGAACGGATTTGGAGAAGTATGGAATTGAGTTCTATTATGTGAGGTTAGAAGTAGCCAACTGGCAATTAGATACCTAACTCTGGGCTTCAGGGTACAATTTAGGACTGGAAAAATTAACTTGGGAGGAATGAGGAAATAACCATGGCACTGGATGAAATTACCTAGCGCAGCTAGAGAAGATAGCAAAGGACCAAGCCCTGGGGTACACCAGCATAAAGAAGTAGAGGTGGAAAGGAAAAACCAGTAAATGACTGGAAAGGACTTACTAGCAAGCTAGAAGAAAAATCAGGAGACCAGTATGCTAGAGGCCAGGAAAGAAAGTGTTTCAAGGAGATGAGTTATGGGCCAAGGATGTAGCTCAGTGGCACAGCGCCTGCCTGTCAAGCATGAGCTCGTGAGTTCGATACCCAGTACCAAAAAAAAAAAATCTTTAAAAAAAGTTGTTTCGTGTAAGTAGAGGGTAGAAGAGTGGTTATCAGAAACTAGGAAGGGTGGAGAAAAGATACCTAATGGGTGGAGGTGTCACTGGATAGAAGGAATTAGCATTGTAGGACAATTATGGTTGACAGCAATTCACTGTATATTTCAAAAGAGCTACTAAAGAAGATTTTAAATATTTGCCAACGAAAAGAAATGATGTATTTGAGATGATGTGTGTACAATTTACCCTGATCTGATCATTACATATTGTATATATGTACAGAGATAGCACATTGGAGCCCACAAATACGTTCTACTATATGTCAGTTAATTTTTGAAGTTAAATAATTAAATCAGAAATTCAGTTCCTCAAAAACAAAAGTGTTTATTGGTATGGAATGTTGTCTGTTACTTGGAAAACAGAAGCTTTAGGCCTTTTGAAGTAAATGTGATATCTTCCCCAGTGAATAACCTTTTTCCATCTGGAAACTTCTCTGTGTTTTCAAGTTAATACTCCAAATAGTTTTCTATATTGTTTTTCAGAAAATGATATTTTGGTCCTTAAGATCTTTAGAACTTTGAATTGTGAGAAGGAATTTGATTATTTTTTGTGCTGTTCTCCATGAAATTCAACCCCTAAAAATCATCAGGTAATTGAAGAAACTTTTCTGAAATTAAATATATGTTTCAGAAGAAAAAGTTTCCTTTAGGTTTTTCTTTTTGTTCACTAATGCTCCCCTGACCCCTTATTGTGTTCTCTAAGTAACTACTGTAAAGATACCAATACACAATGTATTAACTATTGCTATTTTCCTATCATTTTGTTATGAAATTTTGTTTTACTTTTTTTCCATAAAATAAAAAATAAGTAAATAATGCTCCTCTGGGGTGTTTTTTTGTTTTGGGGGGGTTTTGTTTGTTTTGTTTTTAGGCCATATTTCTCCTTCCTTCACTTTTTTAACCTGTTTCAGATTAGATATATAGTTGTGCAAATGATCCAAGTTTGGTTATTTAAAAAATCTGTTTTGGAGATTCTTTATGGCAAAACCCCAAAGATTTAAATAAGAATTGCTATTTTTTTAATGCAAAAGATATCTAAAAAGAAAAGGAAAGAAAATAGAAAGTTTGTTTTATTATTGTACATAAAGAATCCTTTCTTTATCCAGTGTTTGTGGGAAATTTTTGGCATTATTAATATTGACATGTTCAGTACTATAGCTGCTATTCACTATGTAACATTTTATTTTCCTTTGTGTATCTTTTCCTTCCTCTTGCTCTGGGAGTTGATCTGGAAAGAAAAGTAGATAAGTCAGTAACATCCTGTGTAACTTTTATTAACATAGTAAAAAATTTTCTCTAAAATTGGTATTATATTTTTAAAATGTCTTTTAAATTGATGTTTCCCCTTTTTTTATTAATTGAGGTTTCCTCCTGCCTAAACCATCAAAATGCTGGGAATATAGGTATGTGCCACCATACCTGGCCACCATACCTAAAGTGTTCTTTCTCATAAAGATGATAACAATGTTGAATATATTGTTGACTTGAATGACCAGGACTTTATTTTTATAATACCCAGAAAAGGATATTTTCCCACGGGACATAATAATACATGTGAATTAAGGTCTGCTTTTAAGCATAAAACAAAATAAACTTACTTAGCTTGCCAGAAGAGGTATCAGCATACTTACTAAATTTAGTCTACAGAGTTAAAAGCTAGATCTGAGTCCTTCTTTGCTTCTGATTTATATTATTAATAAATTGTATGACCTTGGAAAAGTCAGTTAACTACTTTGTCTCCCGATTTTTCTTTTTTTTTTTTTTTTTTTTTTTTTTTTTCCTCCGGTACCGGGAACCGAACTCATGACTTTGCGCTTGCCAGGCAGGCGCTTTGCCGCTGAGCTAAATCCCCAGCCCCTCCGATTTTTCTTTTGGTAAAATTTAGACTTGAATGTCTGTCTCCCCAAGTTTTGACATACAATATGATAGAACATCAATAAAGTTTCATTAAAAAGCCACATGGTAGAAGACATACAAAAGTGTTTCCTTCTATCACTTATAGAAATGCAATTGAACACTATCGCAGAAGGTAATAACTCACTGAGATAAATTTTTATTTTGTGTAACTTACCTTCCTGCGTGAACAGGTTGCCTGAGCCTTTCTGGACAAAGTATGGAAGGTATGATTAAATGAATAGCTATTGACATTCTGGTCATTTGTAAGTATTTCAGTCATAGATACATTAACACAATATCACCTATGAAGTAGAACAAGACTGAGGAGTTGGAGAAGAAAGCAGTGGTGGCAGGTGGAGGACTGAGCACTTTTCACATTCTGGAGCCACTTAACATTTTGGAATCTTTCGATGCTTGTCCATTGTATGAGTGAAAACTCAATCACATCAGTATTTCTATTGAATCGGGCACACAGAAATTGGCATATATGTCACGGTACACTGAAAAAAAGCCATCATTAGTGGATCAAGAATCCAGGGAGGCTGTTTGGCCCAAATCTGCAGGAGGGTATCAGAAAGTTAGAGGTAGGAAATACGGAAAAAGACATGAATATGTCAGTTTTAAGCCACATATGACCAGACATGAAAGAAGCTTAGGCCGGGCTGATGATAACTGAAGTGTTGAAACTAGATGATATTCCAAAGGAAAATTCCTCTCGTTCCAGTCCATTGGATCGAGCTCATTCTTCTTTACCCAATGAACCTAACTTTGAAAAAAAAAAAAGAGAGAGAAACAAATTTCCACTGGTGGCATAGAAACCATCGAGAGCAGTCCATCTTTCGCTGTATACGTAATAGTGGGGAAGGCAGGGAGACCTTTGTAAGCAGTAAGAATGTGCACGATCACTCTGAGGGAGGAGAGTATACTCGCACAGCTTGTAATGCCTCAAGTGCCCAAAATGGAATTGCGTTGGCTCCTTCTGACTCTTATGATCCAGACTGAAAGCATGGGGAAGATAATGACTGTCTTCAGCTTTCTGCAGAAACTGTAGAAGGTGGTAGATACGAGGAAGCATTAGGCAATACAGGTTTTGAGTTGGAAAATGGAGAGACAGAAACATATGTGGTCTTTCACTGTCACTTCCCTGTCTTAACAGCGAAAGCAAAGAGCTGTCTTTGTTAGTGAACAGTTCTGGTGATACCAACTTTGTCCATCAGAATGGCCAGGAATTTCAGAGGTCTTCTGAAGATGTTGTTAGAAAGGAACAGGAAGATGATACTGAGCATGAAAGACACAGAAAATTCAACAGAAAATGTGGCTTGTATTACAGGACATATTTGTAGGGAACAAAATCCTGGTGATAGGGACAAAAGGCGTGGAAGTTCTGCCAAACAGGCGAAAAGTTAGGGAAGTGATTAAGTTCAAACCAAGTGGACCAAGAAATAAGTTTGAATAGGTATGACTCGAAACAAGTGTTCAGAGATAGAGAGAGGCTTTGGAAGTTGAGGAATGTGGCTCAAATGACCCCTTAATAAAGTGTGAAGAATATGATACAGAGCATAACTGTGTGTTCTTGAAGCCACCTTACTCAAGAGTTACACCACAGGAAACAAAACCATGTAACACCTGAAAGTAGAGCTGCAGCAGGAAGGCAAGAAAGTATAACACCTTTTGGAATGGCTGTGGAGTTTATTACCAATTCTATGACAAAGATGAAGATAGGTTAGAACATAGTGATGGGGAGTGGTCTGGTTCTTTGCCTCATCAATTTTCTGGTACAGAAAAAGGTCATTCCTCAAAAAAGCTGGGAGACTGCCAGGAAAAGATGATAATGAACCTGAGCTACAGAGTGATACAGTGGCCCTGAAGAAGAAAACCAAGAATTTTCTGTACAGGAAGGGGAACAGACATCCTTGAGAGAAGAAGAAATCCCTTGGTTATAGTACAGTGAAGTCAGTGAAAGCAACAGTGAGGAGGGAAGTGAGCCCGCCAATGAGTTTGCACAGCCAGAAACGTTCATGTTGGATGGTAACAGTGACCTTGAGGATGACTGTAGTGTGAGTGAAGTCTTGGGTGTGTACTAGAGCCTATTTGATGGCTTTGCAGATGAACTAGGAGTTGCTGAAGTGATTTCTTCTGTGGATCCTAAGTTCCTCACCTACATGGCACTTGAGTGCTTTGCCCAGGCTATAGAGACTGCACTGGCACATGTAGAGTCCCTTGCAGTGGAAGTTGAGGTGGCCAGTCCACCAACCAGTAAGAACATTGAAGGCCTTCCAAAGACCCTTATTCTTGAAGTTCACACTGCTATTGGCCAGGAACAATGCTGTTCAGTCAGTTGCAGTGAGTATATTAAGGATCATGTAGCGACAGAGTTACCCTGTCACCATTTCTTTCACAAACCTTGTGTCTCACTTTGGCTACAGAAGTCGGGAACATATCCTGTGTGCCACCATCATTTCCCACCTATACTTATTGAAGTGTCTGCAGCTGCTTCCTCTGGCCCAATCCTGATGCCCCACCTTCAAATGACAGTACCGCAGAAGCCCCCTAAATCTGAACACTGGAAATATCAGTCTATCAAAGTAAATCTTTGCAGTTCTTCTAAACCTGATGTACAAATAATTATATATAAATATATTTAAAATGCTATTTAGTCTATGCCATAGTTTAGAAAGAGAATACTACCTTCCTAAACTGAATTTAGGTTTGCAGAAAATACTATACATTTTTGAGATGAATATGAAAGCAGTGCATTTCTTTAGTTGAATGTTGATATTAATTGTAGAATCAAACTTACCAGTTCTCTCCAAAAGAGATCTGTGTGGCACACATTACTGGTTTTATCTTAAAAAAAAAGGGCTACCAAGAGGTTATAGTTAAGCTCTTCTGTTTGCATCAGATGTGAAGACTGTGATCACAGCAGTAGTAATATTTGGTTTCATTGGAAGTAAATGATAAAACATGCTTTTTTCACCGGACCCTTTGTTTTTGCTAGACTCAAACCTCTTGGTTCGTAATACTGAGATTTTTAGAAATATCTACTTTTCCTTCTTTGTTTACCATTGGGACTTTTCAATGCCGTAGGCTAAACTTTTGGCCAGAATATCACAAAATTTAAAATCTTAGATATAACCCTCCCTGAAATCATAAGCATATAAAGTTATAAATAAATAATAGTTAACTTCAGATGTGATAACACTAGAAAACAATGGCTTTTAGAATATCACATTTGAAGGACCTGGGGATTTAGCTCAGTGGTACAGCTCCTGCCTGGCAAGTGCGAGATCGTGAGTTCAATTCCCGGTACTGGAAAAAAAAATAGAATATCACATTTGAGCAAGTAAAATAGTAAAGCACATTGTGAGTGTACATCCATCTAAATGGTCCTTTGACAAATTTAGTTTGAGGAGTATTTCTATGGTTTTCTAAATGCAGAATTTTATTTCATTTTTGTAATTTTTCTGAGTATTTTGTCTCTTTTCTCCATTCTTAAAAATAAATGAATTTTCATTGTTGGCACATTTGAAGCTTAAATATAAGGAATATAACACTTGCATTCTAATTTTTGACTGTATTGTAAATGTGTCTAGTATTTAGAGAAAAATACTGTGTATCTTTTTATGAGTAAAACAAGAGTGAATGTTGCATGCATGTACTGTGGTGAATTTGTAATTTAGGAGTTATAGGGGCTTCTGAGACTTCAGGACTTAATGCCGCATTGCCTAGTATGTTTTCCTTGGGATGTATATAGTCACTGTTGTATAAACTAATCTTTGCCTGTTTTCTACTATGTGATCTTTCCATACCATATTTCATTGATGATAAGGTAGTGTTAAGGAGTTAAATCAG